GCCAAACCTAGAGGAATCATCATACGTCTTTGCATGTTTTTATCTAATTACCACCCCTGGTTGGTTGTTTGCTTGGCTGTTGTGTTGTATACTTCATTATGTTGTTTTGATGTATACTAATTTCATTTAAATAAAGTCCTTTGAAAAAAAATATACGTGGAAATACCAGGTAGCTCAGCTTAAATGTGACAATATTGTTTAACCGCTACCTGCAGTTGGTAGAATATAGTGACTTAAAGAAATGGCCACAAATGACCAGCATATTTAGCTACTTCATTGGCTCAGAGGCTTCAAATGCAGATGCGGGTTTTCTTCCGTTGTTTTTGGTCCACACAATGAGACGAGCACACATAAAGCACTTTGGGTTGTCTTTTCAAGTTTAGATTTTTTTTTGTGCCAAATTTCTTTTGTATCCTATCGCTTATCACATAAACACTGCCTTTTTGTTTCGGGAGCACATTCACAACACACTTATTGCAGCCACAAACTAAACTTGGTCTGATTATTAGAGAACAGCCACGAACAGAACAACAGTCGCTCTGTATTGCAGGTTAATGTGCAGTTAGGTTCGGTTCTGGTCCAGTGGGGAGATTCTTCATATTGTGGTCTGAAGCGCAGCAGCTGCGGTCATTTCCCCGAAAGAGAGACGAGCTGCTCACAATTACGATCCTCTGTACTGAGCAGCTCTCTGCTAGCATTTAAGTCTACTATTTTTACTTCATATTGTTCAAAAACTGAAAAGAGATGTAATGTCCATTATGAATATAGATTAGCAAAAACCATACAAATTACTGTGAAATACTGCTACTTCCGGTGGTGACCGGAAGTAAGACCCATAATCGTTTCCACAGTGTGCCTCCCAGGAATAAGGTGGATAGCGAGCATGTAAAAGTGTAGTACAGGAAACATAAATGACAAAAATGTGAAAATTAATTCCCGGGTCCACCACGTTTACAGTTCTGGTACTTAGTCGGGTTTTAAGGTCCGGTGTTCTGTCAGAGCAGCAGATGCTGTCAGTCACACGCTTAGCATGAACTCACGGCTATATATACGCTGCCATTACCATACGATTTTATTTAATCAGCAACACAGAATCATGACGTAGCTCGTCATATGTTTTTCTATTAACAGCTGTATGGCATCCTGACTTAGCAGTTAAGTAGATTAATGAGTTTTACACGGCGTGTGTTGTAGTTGACCTGCTTTAAATACACTGTGAAACCACGACAACGCATGTATATCTATCTAGTTATTGAAAACAATTTAATGAATTATTTTCGTCATAACTTGTTGCGTAT